TATATACATATAAACCTCTCCTGCCCAGGTGCCAGGACAATCTGAAGACAGTCTATCGCCACTGCCAGATGAAGTGCCTTGGATCGATACCATGCTGCCATTGGTGTGCTGATGTGACTCCGGCATCTCATTACCATGCTTTTGGTTCGAGTTTGTGGGACATGCCATGCAGGATACGGATTAGTAGAACAACATCAGCTATGATCCAGGCTTGCAAGTAGAGCTGCCTTTATACTGCTATGGCTATAACATGCTATAACGTTACTGCATGATGTTTTCAAAGAGTATTTCAGAATATGTGCATATACCGAAATCACTTACCTATATCGACAGACTTGATGTGATATAAATACCCTTGAATTGTAAAGTTCCTGCCACAATTGTATTCCGAATATGTTACACACCACCTTTTCCTCGGGCCATGGATGGCGAAGATGACTTCTTGTTGGAACTTCTCACATACACCTGCCCCTACACTGGCCAAAAAAGATGTGCTGCTCCACTTTCTGAACAAGATGGGAAGCGTGCCAAACTCCAGACCCTCAGCTTAAGAATATATAACTTGTAACTGCAGTACTGGCCCAACAATTGTCTCTCCCAATCCTGCACCACGACCCCGAGGATAAAGCACTTGGAGTGTCCCAAGATTCCAGCAACGCGTGCTTTTGCCAGTCAAGCGTCCCCAATAGATGAAGCGTGCCTGCACACAAGAATGCATGTGTTTGTTGTGGAACCTAGGTAAATACCTAAACACCGAAAGGACATAACTCCCCAAGTTATCATACAGTACTGTCAGTTTGAATTTTGAATCGTTGGCCCACACCGTTTAGGATGAGAAATTCAAGCAGGTCCTGAAGATTCTAGACGAACTGTCGGCAACAACATCTCCGTCAGATTTGCCGTGGGACAAGCTGCAAAGCTGCTTCATAGTCAACAGGATTCAGAAAAATTTATCTCCACTGACAACAGCTGGTAAGATTCTGAGCTATGCCAAGCAACAGGTTGTTGCTTTTCGTGAACGTGTGGGTGTAACTGTGTGCGTATTCAAAATTGGCGTCACAGCATCTCCTACCCACAGATTTAAGCTCTATTGGGAGAAGAACTTTCAAGCCATGTGGATTATCTTCATGGGCAATGACCTAGGCCTTGTTAATATGCTTGAGGCTGCATTGATTTCAGAATTCAGCCAGTGCACTGGATGTCGCAATATGGCCAACACAGGGGGTGAGGGCGGGTTGAATAGGCAAGTTCGCCCTCACCCCCCCTATTTCGTTTATGTCACTGGTGGGAGGGCGGACCAACCAAAACGTGTTGGGTAGATGAAGCCTCTAATTAAAACCTGAAAACATGTCGGTGTTCCGAGAATCTGGATTGGATGGAGTGAGTGGGAAAAAGTGCTTATGACATCTTATGACCTGCGGTTTGCATCATATCTATCTGAAACATGCACCTTTGTTCCCTTTCATTCGGCCTCGGTGTGAAGCTTAGGTGCAGCGAAGCCTTGAACCTGTGCATGCGGGCTCAGCCAGGGTCTTGGCCTTAGATGCTGGTGCTGGAGTGGTGGTCATTTAGGTTTCGCATCCTACTTCCGATTCAAAACTTCAAGACAATTCCCAATGAAGTATGGGTTTCAACATGTTTCAACAATTTCTATGACCAAACAATGTGACAGTCTCTGTTTCACTATGAGGCCATTCCTGAACCACATGAAGGCCAAGCAAAGGAGAGAACGAGAGCAAAGTGAGCAGTCAACTGAGACAACTCCTAGGAGAGGTGTCAAGCAGGAGCCACGCAATGCTGGTCGGCGATCTCGATGAGGTTGCACTCTATGTGCAATGTGTGGCATCTTTCAGTGACACTCATGTGGTGATGACTGCATGTGTTCATTTCATTTTTTTGTTACTGTGTTGCTTTAAGTTTAACTCCAGGTCCCTCAATTTTTTGTTACTGTGTTGCTTTTTGAACAAGTCACAGTGGTGCACCGTTTTGGGGTGTAGCAAGCAATGGCCTTGCTGGCTTTGGGTGTCAACACCCATTTCAACCGTGCTGCATACGAGCGGCCGCAATGCTAGATAGATGTTTGGGAGCGATGAGCTGTGGCCTGACTCGCTGCATTGGGCGAAAACATGGTTTAAACTTTGGGTGATACCAACATCATTTGCGAAAACCGTGTCAAATAAGGTCAAGGAAAACCATGTTGAATAGAACCCATGCCAGGTGAGAGCAGTGATGAAGCTGGACCATTGCTGAACCACATAGTCGAATCCATAGCTGATGGCGTTTCTTGGCTTAACTGTCAGTTGTCTCACCGGTTATCCTGAATTCATTTGTCGCTAGGGTCAAGGAAGTAGGAGTTTTTTTTTTACAATCGAGCAACCTTGAGTGGCTTAGGGTCAGAGTCTGCTCCCAGGCTCCTGCCAAAAAGCTTGCTGAACATGGTGATGCCCTATCCGCTGAACTTCAGGAGTCATCGGCATCAACGTTACACCATTCCACCCGGTCGGTTCTTAAGGGCACTGTGAAAAATGCTTCTAGGCAGTACAAGCGAGCTGTTCGCAGATTCAAAATGGCTTTGAAACTACAGCCTTGATTCAGAAAAAGTTTCGTCGTGCTAGTGAAGGTGACATTTTTTTTTAATAATTCATTATAGACTCAAAGGAAAGAACAGCCATACATTTTACGTGCTACCAACCACCAAAACAATTCTGCTGAGGAATGTCCGCTCATCTCTTCACAATTACACTGAGAATGCGGAGACGGCCCAGCTGCCCTATCTCAATCCAAGGGACGTTTTGGTAAACATTCTGCAGAAGCATCCATGGCTTCTTCTCGGGGGCCTGGACCCAGGTGTGCAATCCCGTGAGATGCTGAGGACTTTTTGGAACACTTACCAATCTGAACATCCAACCCACATGGTGTTTCGGAGGGGTGCAGCACAATCCTTGAAACTGGAGACAACCATCCCAGTGATGCTGCACGGTGACGGTGGCCGCACTGTTAAAAAGCAACCGTTGGAGGTAGTCAGTTTGGTGGCAGTACTTGGCTTGGATACCTACAATGATTTGAAGTGTTCGTGCCCAACTAGCTGTGACTTCACCACCAACAGGGATACTTCCGACCCATTGCTGCAGAAACTGAACAACCGCAACCACAGCTACCTGACGCACTTCCTTCTCTTTGCCTTTCCATCGAAAAAATTCAAGAAAACGCCGGGCCTCTTGAAATCGATGCTGCGACGAGTCAGCCAGGACATGGCTCGAGTTTGCTCGGAAGGAATTTCAATTGGAGCTGAACATTACAATTTCGCTGTTATTGGATTGAGGGGTGATGCAGAGTGGCACTCTAAAACAGGAATTTTACAAAGAAGTTCTCAGAACGTTGGACATGTGAATGAAAAAGCTTGCTGCCATTTATGCAGTGCTGGTTCGCCTGGGGTTGACTTCGAGAACTTTCGCAGTGACGCTCCGTGGAAAGCAACATTTCTTACATCTGTGCCTTGGGCGGAGCCTCCGCCATACGATGCTTTGGAGTTCGAAGACTGGGGCACAGGCCCTGCTGCTGCATTTTTCCGGCACGATCCATTTCATGTGTTTCGACTTGGGATTGCACGCAACTTCATCGCAAGTTGTTTGATCTTTCTGTGCCTGGAGACCTTCTACGACGATCCAACTTCACCAGGTGAGTCACTTGCCATTGCGGAAAGATTGAGCCGAGCATGGTCGCATTTCAGCTTTTTCTTGTGTGAGGTGACGGGAAAAAAACCTGCTAGCATTAGAAGCTTTAGCAAGGAAAAGCTGCATTTTGCAACTGGGACTTCCTTTCCTTTCGTCGGGTGCAAGGGTGCTGACACAATTTTGCTGTTGAAGTATCTGAAGTTTTTCAGCAGTCTCAAGATCAACGAGTTGGGAGAAACTGAGTTGCTGAGACTTATCAAGTTGGGGTGCGAGCAGGGACTGGCATTTCAAGCGATTCACAGGCATGGCATTTGGTTGCCAGCGGGATGTCGAAAACAAATTTTTGAGATGGCGAATGGTTTTTGCAAGACGTATAGCCGTCTAGCAGCTTTGGCATACAGCCAAAGACTCACTCTTTTTGGTTTAGTGCCAAAGGCGCACGCACTGGGGCATATCTACTTTGACCTGGAAAGAACAAAGAACAATTCATTTTCCATCAATCCAGCAACTTGGGATACAAGTAGTTCTGAAGACTTCGTTGGCCGTGTCAGTCGCCAATCGCGCAGAATCGGGTATCGTTGCATAGTCAGCAACACGCTTTTAGCGTATAAAGTCAAAGCCAATTTTGTAATCCAGAGATTTGGGAAGTCTAGGCGAAGGCAATGACCTTTTGGCTTCCAGCTTTTGATTCCTAAACTTCGTTGTTGAAAGTGCCATCTGCAGTAAACTCACTAATTATATAATATGAACCTCAACATGTTCAAACAAGCTAAACTAGCTGTAATTTGTTTGGCATTGCCGCGTCGTTGGCTGCGTTGAGCCTGATCTTTGGAGAGCAAGCGAAAAAGACAAAATGAAAGTTGCCACTTGTCCAGTTCTCAACATTCACACATGTTGGGGACAACCCTCCAAATGTTGCACAATCAGAATTTCTCAGGTACTGATTTTTTGCTTAGGGTCTGAAATCACATGTGAGTTCTGAAATTTCCTACCTTAAGCCCAGGGGCTGAAATAATGCATAGGGGGAAGTTCTAGGTATATATGTATTTTTATTACTGCATTTGGGAGGAGTTCGTCTCAGTCATGTCAAGACCGTCCCACGACAACAGCGGAAATCCACGATTACGTTCTGTACTTGCAGTTACGCGTCATGAGAAAATAAAAATGATTGTGGATTTCCACTTGATGAAGCACTTGATGTTATTTTGTGGTCAGTTTACGTTCCGTAAAAAAGATTAAAACATATTAAAACGCTGGGATTCCAAAATTCCAAGTGATCCAGTGTGCAGAAAGAAACTCTCAGCTTCAAATTTCGTTCCAAGAGTCGGCATTTGTAAGGTCAGCTTCGTGCAGAACAGCTCCTGCCCAAAAATCATGAATGTCTCACCTCCGAAGTCAAGGAATCGCATCCGTTTTATATCCTCGAATGGTCACCATTGGTCAGTTTAAATCAACAGATTCGATGGTGACCTGGTTTTGGACAAAGGATGACATCGGGTCAACAGAACCCGCCTTTCCCCGGGATTCCGGGCCTTGGAGACAAGCGTTCTGGAGAGTGGCTCCCTGCATCTGGGCACACTGGAGGTTTGCCCCTTGGAGACTCGCTGCACAGAGGTCGGCTCCCTGAAGCTTGCAATTGTTCAACTTTGCCCCCCGGAGGTTTGCCCCGGAAAGGTCGACTCCCTGCAACTGCTTGCAGAAGCATCCTCCGGGCATTTCAAGGTTGCAAAGATCGGCACCGGTGAGGTCAGTCTGTGAAAACAGGAGCAGCCTCTGTGGTGCCTCGGTTAAGGTGCATCCTGCTTCCCTGGTCGTGATGTGCTGCCAAGTCTGCTGCGTCTCTCGCAGAAAGTTGAAATAATCCTGGTCTGACGCGCTTCGACTTGAGACTTGAGAGACATCCCTATGAGAAGCCAAAATCGAGAAATATTCTTATGCCTTCAAGATGGTTTTGATATGATTTTGGGATTCTAGTGCACGCTTTGAATTCGGGGGTATTATTTCGACCTGGTTTTTGCATATCGTGTTCATATGGTTTAGGAACGGAGCACCTTTTTGTGGGTTCCGGCTGGGTTAGCCTGGAAAATTCAAGAAACAGCCAGGATAAAGCCCTCCACCCCAGAGCATCCTGGTGTCTTAAATTTCGACGAAGTTGGAGTGAGCTTTAAGGATGCCGCATTTTCAGGATGCAGTGCATCAAATCTCAGCATAGTTGAAAAAGATGCTTGAAAAGACAGGTCAAAACATGTTACAACCCACAGAGCATGGCCATGTTTGAGTTTCTTTCTCACGCTCCTCAACGTGCGACTGCACCTCCGCTGGCAGCACGTCGCCCTCTCTCTTGAAAACCACATCGCCAAAACGAAATCCAAATGGCTGAGGAGGACCATACGTATGCATTTGAATAGGAAAAGCAACCCTGAAGCGTTCAAGTAGGTGGCATTCACGGGCTTCAACTTGCGCTAATGCTTCTTTTCTCACGGTCTCCTGGGATGAAGACGGTCCGCATTCACATCGATTTTTGGCTCAACATTCAAAAACCATGAGTCAACAACCTTGAAAAAGGCTAGGATGGCTAGGATAACGTTGCGAAATGGCTTGGCCTCCAACTAATTCGGCCGAGTGTCATCCTTGATCTTCTCCACCCTTGCCATGGCCTTCTCCTTCCATGCCTTGCGCACCTCTTCGCCCACTTCCAGATGCTTGTTGCACCACACCCCCCTTTGCGTCGGGCCGTCAGGGGTCCATAGAGATGGCTCAGGGGTCCATAGAGACGGCTCAGCTGGCTGAACTTGTGTCTTTGGAGACGGCTCAGCTGGCTGAACTTGTGTCTTTGGAGACGGCTCAGCTGGCTGAACTTGTGGCTCCGTGTGTTCCAAGTGTTCCAAGTCACCTGCTGTGCTGGCGCTACTCATTTGGAACTTGGAATTCCCATCTGTTGACTTCTTTTAGTGACTGTCACAGTGGGTGAAACACGGTGAAACCACTAAATCTTTCATCAAACCCCAAATCCAAGACTTTCTCAGCCTGTCAGCACAGAAAAAGCACGAGTCACGTTGTTTTTTGGGCGATAACGGCGATAACCTGAAGCAGGATGCCATGGCGGTTAACAGAGAATCTACTCGTATCCAGGTTTATACCCATACAGCCTTCTGTTTCTTTTCATTTCGTTCTTTTCTCATGTTCCCTCCTTGTTGTGTGGGCCTAGCAAGGGGAAGATGACTTAGAATGGCTAAGACGGCTCAGATTCTCGGATGTCACTCGTCTTGCCGAATTTTCAAAGATGAACTGCAAGATGCTGCGAGTATATTTCACAGGGGTCGCAGTGTTGGAAGCTCACGCCTGCCTGGCTCACATGGATTATACAGCAAAGCGACTAAGCCGTTTCAAAGAATTGGTTGAACAGACATTGCTTCTGGTGTTCTTTTTTTGTGCTGCTACTTCACACCAGAAATTCAACCGATGTTTTTTTCAGCCCAACGGACCCAACGTTTTTCAGAAAACACACATCAAGACACGCGCGAGCGCATAATGCACTTAATTTTCATGTAGCTTCACACGGGAGCAGTGGAATACAGAAAAACTCGACTGGAGGAAGATGGAAATTCAACGACTTCGCCGATGTCAAGGTCAAAGTAAACACAGTTCCGTTTTGGTTTTTCAAAAGAAGTCACCTTTTCTGGTTGGTGGTTGACCTACCCCTCTGAAAAATATGAGTCAGTTGGGATGATGAAATTCCCAATATCTGGAAAAATAAAATTCATGTTCCAAACCACCAAGCAGTTTTGAGATCAAAGTTCAAAGCGTTTTTCTTAATCGAATAAAGTCTATCCAGAAAGGTGACTTTTCCTTGGAATTCTGCTTGGAATTTTGGGACAACACATTGTGCATCTCATGCAACTGTTCACACAAGACACACATCAAGATTACGTGGAGCACAACGCCCAACATGTTCCAACACTTTCGTCAGCAGGGTGTCTGGGCAAACAAAGAAGCCTCTGGTGAAAGAGCCAACAAAAACGGCGCGGTTCTCACATTCAAAACTATCTGCGATCACAAAGAACGAACCCCTCCGGAAATCAAAAGTCACATTTTTGAGCCACGAAAAATAGCCCTATCCCATCCCATTCTACTCAGTAGTAGAATCTACTGAATCTACTGGTTAGTACAGCAAATATTCCTATGGACTATAAACATCTTCATAATAAGCAACTCATGACAGCTAGAGCAGCTAGAGGCACCATCGGTCACCATCTTTTCACACCTCGTAATGGCCTCCATTTTTGGAAGGCCATGTCTAACCCACTTTCAGGCCCTGCCAGTTTGCCAAATTTTGCCACAATCAAAATATGGCAAAACCATGACTGAATACCTCCTGTTTGTGAAACTTGGCCATTTTGTGCAGTACTTGTTCCTTTCTGTCCAGTCTAACCCGGCAATGGGAAACTCCCATGGCTCATTGGGAACCTGTCAAGACATCATCGCTGAGAAAAGGCCATTTGGGGATAGTTCCCCTATGTGAGGTCGTTCTAATCTAACTCAGATTGAATCCATGACTCCCCTTGGGAAAAACTGTGCCTCAACTCTCAAGAGCCATGTCATCGTCTTCCGCATCATCCTCATCCTCAAGATCCTGCCCAAAAAAGCAGCTCACATCTCATGTTAGAGATATCGCCAAAATATTTTGGAGTATCAAAAAAACCAAACCCTACTGGGATTTGAAGTTGGCTGTATTGTAAACAAGGGTTTACATCTTAGGTGCTAAAAACCCTCTTCTAAATGTTACTAGGATGGTCCCTAGAGGCAAGTTGCTGGTAACGTGTGTCACAGATTCACAACACTGTATGGAGGTGTCCTAAACCATGGTACCCCAGTTACCCTCTGGTAATGACTAACATAGCTATTGAAAATGGTCCATAGAAATGATTTACCATGATTTACCCATTAAAATGGGTGGAATTTCCATAGCTATGTTAAATTACCAGAGGGCATCATCCGACACTGAAACCACCATGGTGGTGACGATTGGTGACGACTGAGGATCCCCCCATGACTTACGAAGCCCGCTCCAGCGTCAGTAGGCGTCGCTTCCGCCAGGAATAGATGGAACACACGCCACGGTGACTCATCACTCGCATGGAGGAAGCCTCGCCCAAGGATAGTTTGAAGCTCCGGCATTTCGGTCGATGATTGTTTTTTCCAAACTTTGGGAAAAAAATATGGGAGAACCATCGATGGATGATGGTACACTCAGTGTAAGATTAATGCCATAAATATCCATAAACCATCCCCATTCCAGCATTTTTGTGGCTTGAAAATGGTTGAAAAAATGGTTGCACATTCCCAAACAGTAGGTTTATGGCATTGGCTGAGTCCCACATTTTCGTTCGTTCGTTGGATTTGCAACCCGAACCCTTGATTTAATGAAAGAAACACAGGAGAATCCTCGATGAATGATGCTCCAATTGCTGAACTGGAAGATACTGGAAGATACTGGAAGGATACTGGATCCCTACTAGCATGCATTGACATGACATTTGTGATCCGCACCTTCGAATGATGGTCAATTTGCATAACCACGAGATAAATGGATTAGAGCCCAGGATTCCGAAGAGAAACCACAAATCATTAATAAGAATGTGTTTTACACCAATAAAATTTTCTGGAATACCCACTGTTTCGTGAACTTTGCGTCCCCAAAAAAATGGTACACGCATTAAAAAAAAACATGATTGCTGGTGATTTGCCCAAGGAAAAGCAGCGTACCCTTACTGATGATCCTTGCCAATTCTCTTTCGACTGACCCAAACCTGCCCAGGCATGACTTCCACCGATTCCACTTGGGTACGAAAGTGTGAGGATGTGTGAGGATTTTCTCGATGGCACTGAGAATTTCGATCACATCCCTGCAGTGAAGCAACCCAGAGGTAACTCTCAGGTAGAGCCGCACTTTGTCGTAGTGCATCCTCGGCCGACAAAAAGGGCACCCCGACATCAACAGCGAGCGTAGAAAAGCGTCGAAAACCCGCGCCTGTGGTAGCTGGTTCAAGACCATGGGCACCTGCAGTACACCAAAGGATGAGTCCACAGCACCAAACCTGAATGTTTGGAAATTCAATGGTTTCATCAGATTTCTGCACCTGAAAGTCCAGTTTTTTTTCCAAAATCCATGTCTGTGGCTGAAAAAATCCACAAGTCTTCAAGTTCACAAAGCGTGAAAATCTCGTTCCACCTCCTCACCAGGTGGATGAAACCTCACAGAGCCAGGGAATTTTTGTCATAGAATTGGATGATGGGAAAATTTACAGGAAACCCCTATATTTGATGGTAAAAACCATGGTTTCCTGTAGATTTTCCCTTAAACCAATCCATTGATTTTGGGACTTTGAGCCGCGGAAGCAGCGGAAAAGTCTCTGAGTCAAAGGCTCCAAGGCGGAGATGTCCAACAAACACACCTGGGTTCTGGATACCGGAGGATTTGGAACCACAACTATTACATTTATAATTTATATATATATACAATATTAAATAATATTTATACCATATACATCCATATATAGCAACCGATTCTCAGACATAACTTCACATAATTGCATGATTTGTTGTATCTGAGTGTTTTTTTCAGGGTAAGATAGAAGGTTCTTATCCAATTTGGGTAGATATGATTTCGGCAAAAAAAGTCATCGGCGAACACGGCGGTTTTCACCGAGACTCTGTGGCGGTGGGTTGCTTTGACTCACCTTCCTCAGCAAAACTGGCTGGCAGAACGGGCAGGCCATGGCAGGGCAACAAGAGTTACAGTTACTGTATTCGGGATGATGCATGGGTTCCTTAGATTTCCGACATTTTCGGTACTTAGTTCACTTCTCGGAGGATCTTCCTTATCGTATTTCTGTGAAGATCTTCAATTCTCATTGAAACATCGCGCTGAGATGCGCTGAGAACCACACTTCCAGGATCAGTGCTGCTACATGCGATGCATCGTAGCTGCGAGACAGCATGAAGTGCCTCAAAAGCGTTCAAACACCAGTTTGCTACCAGAAATTCCAAAAAATGGAAATTCGGAGCACCAAAGACAACTAACCAACAAGCAACCATAACAGGTATCCACAATTGTAGAGATGTCATTCCGACAGTCTTTCCACAGCACTTGTCCCGTCCACCACCGAATCCCAGGCCCCACACCCACTGCCAAGAGAGTTCACCTCACAGGGAACTCTAAAACCCTGTTGACCTTCAACATGGTTCAAACCAAAATGGAGCTTTCCCAAGTCATGGGGGGTGCCCCTTCCAGTCGTCATGTATGACCATGACTTAGTATTGAAACATGGTGACGACTGGGCATCCCCCAGCTTGAGAATCCCCAAAAGATGCCACTCAGCATTACGGGTGGCATCCATCATCCCTAATTTGTTTTCTTCGAGTGATCCCCACCCTGACATACTATCCTGACATAGTTTCTGACGTACCATCTGGAAGAATCAATATGCTGGATATATGTATGTAGGTGCTTTTCTGACAGTCTTTCTGACAGATACTCTGACAGTCTTTCTGGCATTCTATCTGGCACCTATTCTGACATACTTTCTGGATCTTTCTGGCATATATGCTGACATTCTTTCTGGATCTTTCTGGCATCTATTCTGACATTTTTCTCCTCACGTGGGTCTGTAGATTTTATCAGAGTTGCTTCCTCCTCCTTCCTCCTTCCTTCTTCCCCTTCTCCTCCGGCGGCCTCTCGTAGCATGTCTCCATAGCAAAAAGTTTTGACAAAACGGGAAACACTACTCTTGACTGATCCACGCTTGCACTTTCTGCACACATATCGTCCCTTTGCATCCGAGCTTCAGATCTCAGTGGGCACTGCCGGACCTCAACCGCGAGCGCCAGATCTCAGTGGGCACTGCCATTTGGAGTTTCCTGTTGGGGGAAGGAAGGACGGACGTACAGACGGAAGGACGGACGCACGGAAGGACGGACGGAAGGAAGAAAGTAAGTCTGACAAAGTCTTGAGACCCTGCAGGTGGGGAAAAAGGAAACGGAAACGAGTTACAACTCGAAATGAAACTACCGGGCAGCGCGTTCTTGGCTTGTCAATTCAATATCTGATCTGCATAGGGGTTGACTTCGAAAAAAAAAACATTGAAACTTTCAAGTTTCCCATTGGGTCGATCTTCCAGCCTTCAAAGTTGCCAGTTGTGACTGGGGCTGGATGGCAGCCCCAGGTGCTCCCACCTGGACTCAAATTGAGGAAAAATCTGACACAAGTTTCTTGAAACTTCCCACTGTTTCTTCAGGAATTTTCTGGAACGTTTTGAACTCATTTCCAGGTATGATCAAAAAGCCCATGCCCGCCCTGCGGCTGCCTGATTTGGCAACCAACATCATCCTTGAAAAAACATCAACATCACCCAACTGATTTTCGATCTTTGGGGGAAGAAAACTCCCACCATTTTTTGCCATATTTAATATTGCCATATTTTGCCATCCCGCAGGTGAAACCAATCTCCGAGATCCCAGTTTTCAGCATCCCAACGGGCAAATGGATCCGCGCCAAGTGGAGCTGTGCCTCTGGTGACCCTCCGCACCAAAGGATCAGAAGCTGCTCGGGCCTTGCTGCGCCCAAGGAGGGATGATGGATGATGTGGGTCTAAAGCAAGAAATGATGGGATAAACATCTATGGTGAAAATGCCTTGAAATTGGATGAACATTGGATGAACATATTGATGAAACTGCGGAAAAAAAATAATTAACATAGATGAAAGTTTGATGAACATCTGTTGAAATTTGATAAATTTTCGATGAACGTTGATGACAATTAGAAATTCACCAGCAAATAAGGATGATTTTAACCATCCCACTAAGTAGGGATTGGATGATTAGGGTGTCAATTTCAGAAAAGTGAACGTTGGCCAATGGGTTCAACAACTCTTTAACCTTTGGCCATTCAACCTCAAGCCCAACTGCTGCAGAACTCAGCACAGGACAAGGTTTCTTTCAGGCCCTTCCCCTGTCAGAGCACGAGTTCTGCCAGCTGCGCACCAGAAACGTCAACATCTGGAGCTGTGGGGCCCTTGCCTGGTTGGTAGAAAGATCCTGCAACGGATGAGCGGCTGGAAATGGTGGTATATGGTATATGTTGGTGTGGTAGTAAACCATTTGTACCAGGAAAAAACCAAAGAATGCTGTTGGGGCCTGCCAGCTGAATGTTTTTAGTCTTCCATGGTCTCGCAACTCCGCCCAGAACATACTCAGCTTTCCATGTTCTACCCATGATATCCCCAAAATCCTACCACTGGGGTGACCCCATGATTTTTTTTCGAAAAATTTGGGGAGGTCGACCTTTATTTCTTCCATGGTTTTCCATGGTTTTCCATGGTTTTCCATACATCATGCTGATGTTCATTCACCGTCCCAATCATATATCCCGGCCACGGCCACAACTGGGTGGCTTCCCCGTGCCTCCCATGCCATGTGAACTCTGGGCAATCCAATCCCCCTCGGACTCGGCCTCAAAAATCAGGTGATGGCTGAAGTTCACTGGGTCAATTTAAGAAATCGACGAATTCAAACTAACTATGTTGGCATATCTTGGCCCAAAATCTTTCCAGTATTAAAAATACCCTCTGCTAATTTAACATAGCTATTGAAAATTGCCGTTTATAGTTGATTTACCCATCAAAAATGGTGATTTTCCATAGTTTTTTGTTTGTCTACCAGAGGGTAACCATCAACCTTGGCAGTGTCGCAGTGTCGCAAATTTCAATGATACTAAAGCCAGGGGGCCACAGGGCCACGGGTCGCATTGATTGAGCTTGTTCTTCAGCATCCAATTTGAGGATAACTCCATGAATGTGGTAAACCTAACAACAAACCTCCAATTCATGATTATTTTATATAATTTTGACCATTTGTTCCATCCTGTTTTACCAAAGTGAGGATGCTGTATGCCCTTGGGTTAACCACATTTGCCTGAAAATAGGGTGCCCCAAAATCCCATGGTGAAAAACATGGCCGTTTTGGCGTCTCCCCAAAGTCTACATCTATTCTCATAGTTAAGTAACATTAAATCTCATGAAATTGGCTTGTGAATTCATTGTTTTGGATGGTAAACAAAGTGCAGAACACCTATGAATATAAAATCATCCCATAAAATAATAAAATATATAAAATAACCATAAAAGTCCCATCTTGTTGCTTGATTTTCATGAATAAAATTCCCCGGTTTTTCCAGGGTTTTCCGCATTAATTTCCCGCAGATCCTGAGATCCACACACCAAGGAGGCAGCATCTGCGCTCGCCACGGCCCGGAGTTCGGGGGAGGCCACGCAATGCCACGGTGATGGGGCAGAGAAGGACCTCGGCCACGGCCACGGGGCGCTGAAAATGTCCATCGTTAGTGGACTTTGGAAGGTGATGATGAGGTTGGGATTGGCAGTGCCGAAATCACTAGCACATCAACTGAAGCAAGTGAAGCAAGAACAAGAATCACCGCATATATCTAAATTCAATGGATTGGATTAAGGGGAAAATTATAGGACAGGAAAGCCCCATATTTAATAGGAAAATCTATGGTTTCCTGTAAATTTTCCCTTAAACCAATCCATTGATAAATATGTTTTTCATCCACCGCGATGAATTCTGATGACGGCTTTGTGGCTCTCAGCATTTGCTCATTGACAAATGCCCTGCCACGGTCCCAAGCGTTGTAATGATGGTGTTATGCACCAAGCAATAATCTGGTTGGTGGTTGACCTACCCCTCTGAAAATATATGGAAAGTCATAAAATTCATGTTCCAAACCACCAACCAGTAATTCATGATACTGATAAGAATCCTCTTCGTCTTGTGTCAGTGCTCCGAAGTCTTGCGACTGGACTGCGCGAGCTGGCGGTTGAAACTGCCACTTCTTGGCCAACTGTTCTTTCCTTCGAATGTTTTTTTTTGAGGGATAGAATGGGTTTGTCTGAAAATAAGAAACCCCCACGAATGTTGATGTGTTGACAGGAAGCAAGGTGCAGCATGGTCATAAACTCCGCTGGATCTATCCTTTGGACAACCCCGTTGTGCGGAAGAACTCAAAGTCTTGGGGCACTGGTGCCCTTGAAGTCGCCAGTCTCGGAACTTGTTCCAGTTGGGCACTCGGGCACTCGGTTGTCGTTGAGGTTGTCATAATGGGGTAACCATACCACCAAGTTCGGGGCACTGGGTCGCTGTCACCCCAGCTCCGGCATGTGCA